CAGAGTACATCATGAGAAACGCTGGGCTGCAAGAAGCACAAGCTGGAATCAAGATTGCCAGGAGAAATATCAATAACCTCAGATATGCAGATGACACCACCCTCATGGCAGAAAGTGAAGAGGAACTAAAAACCTCTTGATGAAAGTGAAAGAGGAGAGTGAAAAAGTTGGCTTAAAGCTTAACATTCAGAAAACTAAGATCATGGCATCTGGTCCCATCACCTCATGGGAAAGAGATAGGGAGACAGTGGAAACAGTGTCAGACTTCATTTTTGGGGGCTCCAAAATCACTGCAGATGGTGACTGCAGCCATGAAATTAAAAGACGCTTACTCCTTGGAAGGAAAGTTTTGACCAACCTAGATAGCATATTAAAAAGCAGAGACATTACTTTGCCAACAAAGGTCTGTCTGGTCAAGGCTACGGTTTTTCCAGTGGTCATGTATGGATGTGAGAGTTGGACTGCAAAGAAAGCTGAGCACCAAAGAATTGATGCTTTTGAACAACGGTGTTGCAGAAGACTCTTGAGAGTCCCTTGGACTGCAAGGAGATTCAACGCCTCCATCCTGAAGGAGATAAGTCCTGGGTGTTCATTGGAAGGACTGATGCTGAAGCTGAAACACCAATACTTTGGCCATCTCATGCGAAGAGTTGACTCGTTGGAAAAGACCCTGATGCTGGGAGGGATTGGGGGCAGGAGGAGAAGGGGACGACAGAGGATGAGATGGCTGGATGGTATCACCGACTCGATGGGCATGAGTTTGAGTAAACTCCGGGAGTTTGTGATGGACGGGGAGGTCTGGCGTGCTGCGATTCATGGGGTGGCAAAGAGTCGGACACAACTGAGCGACTGAACTGAACTGAACTGAATGTTAAATGATTAAACTAAGCTAGCTAAGCTCTCATCAGCAGGGAGAGCGGGGAGCATGTGAGAGACCCAGAGCTGTGGACTAAGGGACAAGGTAACCAGCAAGCTGGACTTTGTTCCTAGGTGTTTCATGTTCACCTGAATCTTGGTTGATGATGGATTTTTCAACGAAACGGGGAAAAATAAAGCCCATGCATGCTAAAAGCTAGGATAGGAGAACACTAAAGCTCTGAGAGCTGCTCTGAAGTTATCAGAGACTAATCCAAACAGACACACTCCAGTGCATTCAGGCTGTATCTGTTCACTCAAGGCTTCTAGTTAGTCTCTTAATTGCTGCTGTTGCTGCTGCTGCTAAGTTGCTTTGGTTGTGTCCGACTCTGTGCGACCCCATAGATGGCAGCCCACCAGGCTCCCCCGTCCCTGGGATTCTCCAGGCAAGAACACTGGAGTGGGTTACTATTTCCTTCTCCAATGCATGGGAGAGAAAAGTGAAAGTGAAGTCGCTCAGTCGTGTCCGACTCTTCGCGACCCCATGGACTGCAGCCCACCAGGCTCCTCTGTCCATGGGATTTTCCAGGCAAAAGTACTGGAGTGGGGTGCCATTGCCTTCTCTGAGTCTTAACCAGTGAACCTTAAAAAATCCTGGGAGAATAAATGCAATATTGCCCTGGCCCGCCACCTTCTGGTGGCTCTAGGAATGGCAAGCTGGATACACTGCCACGGGCACAGTACTCTCATTTTCTGGATGTGAGTTGCACTTTCTTTTCCCTGTTGCAATCCCTTTAAACTATTTTTTGTTGTAAATACTATCTTGTATATATACATATATATATATTTTTACACGTATATATGTAAAATGTGTGGAGTCTCAGCTATTTTCAAATGACAAAACTGTATTTCTTCCCAGCCTCCGCCCTAAAATTTCAGGTGGGTCAGCTGTGCTCTCAGAAGGACCGCCTGTGGCCTCCGGGTGCTGGTCATGGGCAGGGTGCTGAAAACCCCGGGGCAGGTGGCAGCCACTCTCTGGAAGGGGACACAGGGAGAAAGCATCAGCGGTCAATGCACTGGGTCATGGCAGAGCTCCATGGGTGGGTCTAAGGGACTGCAGCAGCATCAGTCAGGGTGCAAAGCTGAAGCCGGGACCAGGGAGTCACTGTGGGGTGGAGTCGACCAGACAGCCAGGCCTCCTTTCCAAGGAAGGCCCCAGGGAGGGCAGGGGAGGGGTGGTGTGCCGGCTCTGGAATGAATGTAGGGAGTTTGGGGGAGCACAGGTCTTTTTTTGTTTACTTTTTATGTTATACTGGGGTATAGTTGATTTAAATGGTTTCAAAATTTCTGATTTTATGGGTAGGCTACGTTTTAAATGAGCTGGATGTGGGGCCTACTTAGGACGTCCATACAAAAACATACAGCCAGCAGCAGAGGGTCAGGGCTGGAGGGACTCGTTGGTCAGGGGCAGTGGGATGAGAGTGGGTGAGACGTGGCTGGGCAGGACGGAGCAGGGACAGAAGCCCTTACAGGTCAGGGCCTTATGGAGACAGGAAAGGAAACAGAGAGCAAAGCCCAGAAGCAGGTTGTTGGAGGTGACAGGAAACCAGCTTCCGGAAGGCAAGAGTGATCGATCATTGAACTGAAAGCATCAGGAACAGGAGGGCCAAAGGACATCACCTGAATTGGCAGTTAGGTCCCTGTGAACTAGAGCAGCAGCTGGAAGCTGGTGGCAGGGACCAGCAGTGCCAGTGAGCAGGGGACCAAGGGCAGGTCGGGATGAGAAAGGATGCTTGAGACCGAGGATGGTCAGAAGGGCTGCACTGCAGAAGAGCCAGGGAAGGACGAGGCTGGCTAGGAAGGGTGCTCAGTACAGCATCCAGGACGCAGTCAGCACTCAAGACCATGGGAGTCATCCTCCACTCACTGACCGTATCCAGATCACACGTACCAGGGCTGTTCCGGGCCCTGTAGATACAGTGAGTGAGCAAGAGACACAGAAACCCTGGCTGAGGAGCTTACCTTCTAGCTGAGGAGACAGAGGGTAGACAAAAGAAACAACTCAAGTTTTATGGTGCGTTCCTTAGTGGTCAGGGCTATGGAGAAAGCATAAACTAAGGGAAGAAGATATAACATTAAAGGAGGGAAAGGAATTTTAGATCATGTGGCCAGGGAAGGGCCCCATTCAGTGAAGACCCAAAGGAAGTGAGAAAAGTACCTACAATTAGGAAGTGAGGGAATGATGCCAACGATCACCACCCCTGTATTAGCATTCTCAGTGCATCACTATTGCAGGAACAGGTGTAATTGTATCATCGCCCTATCTTTGCCAGTGAATGGTACCATTACCACTGTCCTCTCTGGCTCCCCAGTCAGTGGTTTTGGCAGCACGTCTGATGGCCTGGGTCCAGCTACAGGAGCCTCTCCGATGGAGAGCCGCGTCCTGGGGAACCAAGTGCAACCCCACAGACGAGCGTCCCGGTGAGTGTGTACATCAGGGGCACAGCTCGGACGGGAAGGCCCCTGCGAGCAGTCACTGCAGAGGAGAAGCTGTGTCACGTGTGCACCGAGGGGTGACGGGCAGCACCCGGCGGGTCTTCCTGTCCCACCTGCAAGTAAGGGTCCTCCTCATAGGCCACCCTCAGACCAGAGTAAGTGACACAGAGACACCTCCGGGGCAACAGGAAAGGTGCAGCTCGAGGAGGTACAGGTGGAGAGTGTGTGACTCAGAGGTCACAGTCGTGTTCCTGTTGTTACTGTGTTAGTCGCTCAGTCGTGTCCAACTCTGTGTGACCCCATGGACTGTATCCCACCAGGCTCCTCTGTCCATGGATTTCCTAGGCAAGAATGCTGGAGTGGGTTGCCATTTCCTTCTCCGTGGGATCTTCCACACCCAGGGATCAAAGCCACGTCTCCTGCATTGGCAGGTAGATTCCTTACCACTGAGTGACGGGGGAAGCCCGTCATGTTTCTACCAGAGTATGTATCTGGTTGCTAGAGACAAAAATCAGCCAGTGCCATCTGGGAAGAACGAAGAACTGGGCATTCTTGCCACGTCTGTTAAGTTCCCACCAGATTTACTCTGAACGGGGGGACTGAGTTGCTTGTGATTGACACATACATTTTTCTTTAACAGATTGGCTGGGACTGATAATTATTCTTTGCATTAAAAAAAAGAAAAAGATTCCAAATGCTGGAGGCCTCCTCCTCTCTTCAATCTAAGTTGCTACAGAATTTCTTAAGTGTCTCATTTATTGGAGACTTACAAATCACTTTCTGTGGGCAGGTGGGACAGGACACTTGACCTGTGGCTTCAAGAACAAACACCATCCTTCAAACAAGATTATGAAAAAGGTTTGAAAATATCTTTAATGTGTTTTTAGAAGCATTTATTATTCAAAGCGAGCCACTACAGAATTGTCATTAAAAAAATAATAACCTCAGGATTAAAACATTAAAGTTTAATGTTTTAATTAAACTTTAAATGTTTAATTAAATGCTTTAGTGCACATTAAATGTTTTAATGTTTAACATTAAGAATCAGAGTTTAGAATACAGAAGCGTTTCCATTAACTGCTTGTAAACATCTATGTAAATAGATCCTAACATTTCCTTCCTGGCTTTGAAACCAAAAGCTAAACCGCTGTAATGACCAATGAAAAGCCTGTGAAAGAAGAAAGTAAACAGGCCAGTCATGTTTTGTGGCTCAAGGCAAAGGCAAGTTGCTACATTCTAAATATCATCATGGCCTTTCCACACGTGATTTATTTTAAAACAACTATTTTATTTTTTGGCTATACCTCGGGGTGGGCAGGGATTGAACCTGGGCCCCTGCAGTGGAAGCGCAGTCTTAACCACTGAACCACCAGGGAAGTCCCACCCTGTATTTTCATGCTTCTCTAAGGATTCCTAGTGCCGACTTCATCCCCATCATCGACTCCACTCGAAGGCAGGAAAAGTGAATCAGAGACCCTGGAAAGAGTCCGACTGTGCAACGGGCTGTCATCAAGCCAGGAAGCCAGCTGCCTCATCCCGGGGGGGGCGGTCCTCCACCCAAGGGGGCATGCAGAAAACACCGACTCCTGGCCTATTTCACTGCACCTGCTGGCGACTGAAGCAGCAGCACACGCATTCCCGTGGATTCACTATCTATCTCTGGAAATGCCCTCAGCCATCGCGCTGTGGTCGAAGCACTGAAGGACGTGGGGGCTCCGTGTGAGATGCTGAGCCAGGGCACCCGAGATGTCCGGAGAGTCCTGGAGCCCGGAGCTCAGGAGGAACTGGACACAGGCCGCGTGCTGCCCCGCGCAGGCCAGGTGCAGGGCTGGGTGGGGACAGAGGACCCAGCTCAGGGCTTTACCCACAGCAGTACAGACAGGGGAGCCGGGTGCCCCTGATAGAAACTCTGGTTCCTTCAGCTGCACAGATTTCATAGTTCCATATTCATGCCTATGACTTTGTCTACTCTGGATCTAAACATTTTTCCTTTTAACCTGATTTGGTCAGAAATGGTTTTAAAAGTAACAGAACCAATTGGGGAAGATTTGAGACTTGTCGAAAACACAGAAGTAAGTTCATGAGTCATGTCTGACTCTTTTTCAACCCCACAAACTAGCCTGAGTCAGGCTCTCCTGTCCATAGGATTCTCCAGCAAGAATACTGGAGTGGGGTCCCATATCCTTCTCCAGGGAGATCTTCCCAACCCAGGGATCAAACCTGGTCCTCCCACATTGCAGGCAGATTTTTCACCATGTGAGCCATCAGGGAGCCCAGGTGGCCTAGTGGTAAAAAGAATCTGCCTGACAATGGAAGACCCGCTGGAGACCCGGGTTCGATCCCTGGGTCAGGAAGATCCCCTGGAGGAGGACATGGCACCCCACTCCAGTATTCTTGCCTGGAGAATCCCATGGCCAGAGGAGCCTGGCTCGGGCTACAATCTAGGGGGTCACAAAGAGTCGGACACGATTGACATGCACACAGCAAATTAATAAGAACCAGGAGATTTTCAATGGTACAGAAGGCGTTTTCAAAGTTTTGTGAATTCACTGTGTAAGTTAAAAATATCACTATGAGTAAGAAAGATGTAACGGAAAGAAAAACTGCTGACACGCCTTCCCACTCTGGTTAGAAACTGGCACTGAGGGTTTGCAGTCTGCTTCCTGGGGGCTGGAAGAGCCTAGGTCCTGTTCCCCTGCCATCAGGAGAAAGTTTGTGTGCCTGGACTCAGTGGCCTCCATCTGCAGCCCTGGAGTGAGAGGTGGGTTACCTGTGAGCCTTGAAGCATCATAGGTCAAACTAAACCGTGGCAAGATGGTCACTGGTGCACAGAATGCTACTAAGAAAGTTTATTCCAAAGCCCAAGACTAAGGGGTTAGGTCTAAAAATATCTGAGCCTCAAATCTAAAAAATTATAGTGATTAAGGTTTTAAAATACATTCCAAGAGAGACGGCCTATGAAGAATCCACGTGACACCCCGGGGGCTGGTGTGATCACGGATTAACACAGAAAGCGCTTTGACATAGGGAACTCTGCTCAGTATTGTGCACCAGCCTGGATGGGGGAGGGGGGAGGTTTGGGGGAAAATCAATGCATGTGTATGTATGGCTGAGTCCCTTCACTGTTCACTGAAACTATCACAACATTGTTAATCGGCTACACCCCAAGACAAAACAAAAAGTTGAAAAAGAAAGTGCTTGGATGTCACATATGTTAAGTGATTTAAGCTACTACGAACACAGTAATACTAGCAGCAGTAAAGTATCATTGCTGCCATGGTAATAGCAATAGTTCTATAGCTTTGCAAATGGATATGTTATTTGAATTAAAAGGTACTGAGCTTTTAGAGGAATAATATTAAGACTAATTTTTCAAACATAAAAGTTCACTGTTAATTTTGTTTGGTGGTGGTTTAATTGCTCAGTCGTGACCAACTCTTGCGATCCCATGGACTGTAGCCTGCCAGGCTCCTCCATCCATGGGATTCTCCACGCAAGACTGGAGTGGGTTGCCATTTCCTTCTCCAGAGGATCTTCCTGACCCAGGAATTGAACCTGGGTCTCCTGCATTGCAGGCAGATTCTTTACCAACTGAGCTGAGGAATAATATTTTAAGACTAATTTTTCTAACACAAAAGTTCACTGTTAATTTTGTTTACATTCAGCTTACTAACAATTTTCAAAGTCCATGTAAAATGAGATCATACCTGATCGATTTCTTTCGTCCTTGGAGTTGATGTCAGCACCCAAGGATAAGAGCGTCTGGACTGTGCTCACATGACCTTCCTGAGTGTTGAAATAAACGTGTTACCACTGCAGTGATGACAAAAGCAAGCCTTAAACACAAACTCTACTGCATATTAGGTGCTTTTTCTAAAGTTGTTGTTCAGTTGCTCAGTCATGTCCAATTCTTTGTGACCCATGGACTGCATCATGCCAGGATTCCTTGTCCTTCATTATCTTCTGAAGTTTGTTCAAACTCATGTCCGTTGAGTCAGTGATGCCAATCAACCATCTCATCTTCTGTCACCCCCTTCTCCTCCTACCTTCAATCTTTCCCAGCATCAGGCTGTTTTCCAATGAGTCAGTTCTTCACATCAGGTGGCCAAAGTACTGGAGCTTCAGGTTTGTCCTTCCAATGAATATTCAGGGTTGATTTCCTTCGGGATTGACTGGTTGGATTCCCTTGCTGTTCAATGGACTCTCAAGAGTCTTTTCCAGCACCACAGTTTGAAAGCATCAAAAGTACTTACCTGCTAAAACTAAATTTTCATATCTAAAGGAAGGCTCATCACATTACTATCAAAATCCAGTGTCAATCATTAAATAAAGATGCAGGTGGTGTTTAGTTATTAGAAGAGGGATAATCAAGTTTGAAGCCAAATTATTGACCACTATCGTTGGGTTTCTGGGGAAGTAAACGGCAATCCACTCCAGGCTTCTTGCCTGGAGAATCCCATGAACAGAGGATCCTGGTGGGCTACAGTCCAGGGTGTCGCACAAGAATCTGACATGACTGAGCACGCACAAAGTGGTGCACGGCTGGGTTTCATCTCAGTGTAAGGAGTTCAAATCTTGTGATTTTCTTAGAAGACACAATTCTAAATCTTCCAAGCAAACACGCTCTTTGCTAACCCCTTAGGGGAGAAAATAGACTGGAACACAATGTAACCTCCCCGGACAGGATTCTTATCACAGCTGGCACCGTCCTTTGTGAAACAACTGACACACCTTACGTCCGGCCAGTCAGCCCATCACTACCTGCTGAGGTGAAAAGTGAGGCTGCAGGTTCAATCTTCCCACTCGCTTTTGTCCCCCTGTGGCCCCAGACCACACACTCAGCCCACCCTCAACTATATACCCATGTTGTCAAAGGGGAACATAGGTAGGAGAGTGCAGGTCCCCAGAAGAACATCTATTCCTGAGGTTAGAAAACAAGGAAAGGCAGGCAGCCAATAATGTTAAAGATTATACACAAAACACTCACATCTTGTGAAAGAGGAGGGTGAAAGCCAACTACTTTCCTAGCAAAAAGTTCTGGACTCCTTTACTTCACGCATCAGTTGTTGTGGTTGTTTAGTCGTTGTGTCCGACTCTATGTGACCCTATGGACTGTAGCCCGCCAGGCTCCTCTGTCCACGGGGATTCCCCAGGCAACAATAATGGAGTGGGTAGTGTCAACTACAAATTGGCACTTACCAAGAGCACTGACAATGAGTGAACAACAAAGACATTTGCCATCTGTCTCTATGGAGATTGAACCCCATGCTGCTATAGCTGTTGACCTTCAACAATCCCTGAGGGAGTTCAGGGTGGAGTGAGGCCCTCTGTGCTCCAGGCAGTCTGGTGGGACAGGTCTTTATAGATAGCTGGATGTTTTTAGGAACAGATTTTATGATCTCAATCCTTGTATCTCCTCATATCTAGAGAAGCACTAAATCCCTTCATGGTGACATCAGATCTTCATGACTAACAGAAAAACCTTCTGTAAAATGAGTATTTCATGGTATGGAACTCCCCCTTCACCAAAACCTTATGTATATATTGGCCTTCCCCCACTGCTGCTCTGGAGCAGTCTCCCAGAGCTATCTGAGATGCTGCCTCCCAGGCTGTAGTCCTCATTTTGGCCCAAATAAAACTTAACTCGAAACTCTAAAGTTGTACATCTTTTTCAGTTGACAGTAGCCATTTCCTTTCCCAGGGGATCTTCCTGACCCAGGGATTGAACTCGCATCTCCTTCGCTGGCAGGTGGGTTCTTTACCACTGAGTCGCCAGGAAATCCCTTCATATATCAGTCAGAGCCCAGTAAATGCAATTCCCTCCTCTTAGCTAAAGAAATCTTCTGAAATCCAGTAAAGGATAAAGAGCTAGGAATTTCATATGATGGATTTTTATGGCTTCAAATAACATTATTCCTGAAAACAAAAAAGGTAGGAGGGAACACCTAGCGCGGGCATTACATGGAGTAAAGGGCTTTTCTTTTTTACCTAGAAACAAATAGAGGCAGGTTTCTATGTAAAGGAACCCAGGGCTTCAGAATCAGGACCATTTCAAGAGTATGTTATGAGCAAATTCTTTCTTCCAAAGAGATGGAGCAGAAGAATCAGGACTACAGGTTACTCATCAACAGGGTTAGGCAAGTCCTTATGGAGCTGGAACACCATTCTGGAAAGAAACAAACCTTAGCTGCGAAGTGAAGTGCAGTGAGATGGGTGGATCCTGCTCTTGCATCAACGTTGACGCCAAGCTCCGAGACCAGGAATCGGATGGCTTCATCCTGCCCAGTGACCGCTGCCCGGTGGATTGCCTGGGCCCCCAGTGAGTCCTCAGCTGACACGCAAGCCTAGGAGGTGAGGACGGACATGAGCAAAAAGAAGCACAGACACTTGGGTCCACAGACCTTTTGATGTGTTGGCAAAACTCTGCCATCTACATATGTTTTTCTGGGTAGGTCATACAGAGCTTTTGTCGGATTCTCAAAGGATGCTCTAACCAAAGAAGTGCTTAAGATTCAAAGCTAAGGTGCCAAAAAAGTATAGTCACTAGGGAGAGTCTGTTGTTATTATTACTATGAAACAGCTGCTGTTTATTGAAGACATTTTGCTAACTGCTTTCTGTACATTTCATTATTTAATCCTTATAGTAACCCTGTGAAAAAAGTGAAACTTGTCTGTTTTACATATGGAAACACTGATGCTTAAAGAGGTAAAGGGGGCCTACAGTGGGGAAGGTGGCAGAGTTGAGATCTGAACCCACCATCTGAATCACCATGCTTCCTGTGTATCCCCTGGGCTAAAACTTCTAGGAACAACCGAACGGACAGAACCAAACCATTTCTCTACCTTGTGCTTTTCGAGGAGCAGCCTGGCCACGTCCGTGTGGCCACACTGAACGGCGTCCATGAAGGGCGTGAGGCCACACCTGTCTCTGCAGTCTGGTTCGTACTGGCACCTGGAGCCCAGACCCAAGGCAACAGCTGAGAACAGTCACCGTTTCAAACCTGACAGCACTGACTCTGGCCCACCTGCCTTACAGAGGATCCGTGAGGACCTGATGTGCTTGCCCTGTGTCCCCGCCTCAGCGTCTGGGGAGCACGTTGGTGTCCCAGCAAACCTGCTCCTCCCCCAACATCCCATCCCATTTTAGGGATCGTCATCTCTCCAGATTCTTATGCAGAGCTTTACAGTCGCCCCTTATTGCTCACAAAACCTCTCAATTCTCCAGCCAGCATGTGAAACAAATTGGTATCCTTCTTTCCAGCTTTGTCTTCACCCCTCAAGACGGAGGCAACAGGCAACAGCCTCCTACCTGTTTTTCTGTCTTTAGTTCCGCCCCAGCCATTTTGTTCTCACCACCAATGGAGTAATCTTTTCACCACATGTTTAGGTTATGGCCACTCCTGGTTAAAACCTTTAACTGCTTCCTAACCACAAAGGACAAAGTCTACAAAGCTCAACATGACCTTGTAGGTCAGGACTACGTGGAACCTACTTACTTCTCCAGGTTCCTCGGGCCTCTCCTCCCTGTGCTTAAGGAGACCCCCTTCAGTCTGGTCTCACTTCTTGGTCCCACAGCCCATCTGTCCTCCTTCCATTCCTACCTTCTCTTCTTGTTTCTACTTTCTTCGTGGTCCTACCTATCTCTCCTTCTTCTTGGCCCCACTGCCTACCAGTCCTACCTTCTTCCATTCCTGCTTCTCTGCTCCCACCTTTTCTGTGGTCCTTCTTCTTGGCCCCACCTTTTTCCATTCCTACCTTCTCCTGTGTTCCTATCTTCGTGGTCCTATCTGTCTCCCTTTTTTCTCAGCCCCACCTCCTAGCTTCTTCCGTTTCTACATTCTACTGTGTTTCTATCTTCTTTGTGGTCCTACCCAGTTCCCCTTTTTCTCAGCCCCATCTCCTACTTGTCCCATCTTCTTCTGTTCCTACCTCCAACAATCCTCCTGTCCCACCTCCTCCTGCTCCTCTAGCTACTGGCTCTTTGCTGCCTTTGCCCTTCCTGGACCCTCTGCCTGGAACATCCCAGCGCCATTCTTCACCTTGCCACCTCCAAGGCATTCTTTGAATCATAGCTTCAAGGAGACCTCACAGAGTTGTCCTCCCCCCAGATCTACAGGGACTGGTGCTCCCGCACAGAACTGTGGACTTTCCCTTTGCAATATTATCACAATTTGTAATTTTATGACATTTCTGTGATGGTGTGTCTATACTCGGCTTCCGCACGAGCCTGCAGGCAATCAGAGAAAGGACTGTGTTTACTGCTTATCGCCTAGCGCCTAACACATAGGAGGCACTTAGAAAGCACTGGTTGAATGAAGTATTTATGACTGCAGACAACACGTATGTCCCAACATGCAGCAGGTGAGCCCTACACAGCGATGCTCTCAGGGCACTGCATTCGGCCTCCTCTTCTTCACTTACCATCTCCTAGGTAACCTCTTCCATCCTCTGGATTCAATCGTCACTTCTACGCCAACAAGGCCCACTCCTATATCTTGGTCACACCTATTCTCCGGGCCTAGATCTGTGTCTAACCGCCTGCTGGACAATTCTTCCTGGGTGTCTCACAGGTACATGTAACTCAATGCGTCCAAAACTGACGTGAAAGTGAGTGAACAAATGTTTGTTGGATGAACAGATAAACGGATAACTTCTCCCCAGGTTTGTTAGCTGTTTTTGCTTCACCTTCTTTATCTGCTATGTCCTTTCTTCATTTCCCTCTTGGTACCTTAGATTCTTTCTGAACAATTTGTCTGAGCTCTTTATGCAGCAACTCTTTATGATACTAACTCTGTCAGAATTAGCATATATTGTCCTCAATTTGCTGTATTGTTCTTACCTCTGAAGAAGCACCTCTACTGCCTCTAAACAGCCATGCATTGCTGGGAGGAGAGAATTGAGAATGAGAGCTTTTTAGTGCAAAATTAGAATGCCTCTTCCCTCCTGGCACCTCTCTCCATCCTGGCCCTGTAGCTGCGCCTCCCAGGAAGGAGTATTAGGTTAGGCTTGCTGCCACCGCCCCCAGAAAAGGACAGATTCAGCTGGAGGAGTGGGGAAGAGTCCTATTTTCACCTAATGGGTATAAGGCCACCCCTTTATCATCCTGTCTTTATGAGACTTTCATGGCAAACATTTAACTCTAAACCTCCATCCTCATCCTCATGCTACACATCCCTAGGGCCAGGCAGTTTTTGCCTAGGAAATGTAAAACATTGTAAGAGTAATCTATGACAAAATAACCAGGAATTTAATTCTGCTCTTAAAAATAACTATACTCCATAACAAAGATTTTTGACTCTCTGTTTTCCACTATTTTGTGTGAATGACTGGGTGCTGACTGCTCCTTCACAAGAGCGGGGGAGCTCATCAAACAGTTTATGAGCAGAGAAGCTTTTCCACTCATATGCAAAGTTTTTTTCTTTTTTAGGGGGGTGGGGGGCTGTTGCAAGGCATGTGGAATTTTAGCTGCCCAACCAGGGATCGAACCCATGCCCCTTGCAGTGGAAGCATGGAGTCTAAACCACTGGATCATCAGGGAAGCCCCTATGTTCAAAGTTTTAAAAAGGATACCTTGGTTCCTAACTGCCCCCAGTGACCAGAACAACTGTGTGCCTACCTCCTCAATGATATCACGTCATAGGTCTTGACTTCCGAGAAGTCTAAAAGCCCTGTATTCAAGTTCAAGGTACTGCCCAGTAGGCTACCAATTACGGTCTAAACATCTTTATTTGGATTCCTGAGCTGCTTAATGCCCCTTTTGTCTTACACTGCTACACTTTTACTTTTAACTAATTTAAGATAATCTACAAATATTTAGTCCAGAGTTAAGGATAATTACTCCAAAAAATCAAAAGAGTGGCCCAGAATTATATTCGACCTTATCACTGGATGAGTCACAATCTACTGGGCTTCGGGATTTAATTATAAGCACCCGTGTGCTTCCCAGGTGGCGCTAGTGGTAAAGCCTGCCTGTCAATGCAGGAGGTGCAAGCGACGTGGGTTCAATCCCTGGGTCGGGAAGATCCTCTGGAAGAGGAAACGGCAACCCACTCCAGTACTCTTGCCTGGAGAATCCTATAGACAGGGGAACCTGGCTACAGTTGATGGGGTGGCAAAGAGTCAGACACGACTGAGCAGACTCTCGTTTGTATTTATTTAAATGGACAGCACCGTGGCAGGTGTTGCTGAAGATATGAGGGGACAGTCCCCTTTCCTTCTGCTTTTAATAATCATCATCATCATAATGATGTGAAAACAGCAGCTATAGCCATCCTGAGCTCACTGTGTGTGTAGCGCTATGCTGAGTGATGTGTGCGCACCTTAATCCCCATGACCCTATGATATGGGCTTCGTTGCTGCCATTATTCTGTGGCTAAGAAACCTGCTCGAGAGATTAATTTCCTTGCCCAAGGTCAGAGACATAGTAAGGAACAGAAGCAGCCCACCATCTAACTTGTGGATGGCAATGGAAAGCCACTCCAGTGTTCTTGCCTGGAGAATTCCATGGACAGAAGAGCCTGGTGGGCTACAGTCCCTGGGGATCACAAGAGTTGGACGCAACTTAGTGACTAAACCACCACCACCACCATCACCATCTAACTAACTGGGGAGGAGAAGACAGATAGAAGTGAAAAGTCACCTAAAACAAGAAAGAAGTGCAAGCTGAGGGCCGAGTGACATTGGCTTTGGAAACTGTTTGCCGAAACACCCCAAAGTAGCTTGTGTTCCCTGCCCCCTACTTCCCCTGTACCACCCCCGCCACGGGGGACATCCGGCAGGTCTGGACCACACCTGCCGTGTGCAGTGGAGTCCTCCCGATCTTGCTTTCTGTCCTCCAGGCAGAGGGGCAAACTGTGAGCAGGTACTGGAGGATCAGAGGGTCGCCTTCGCGGCTGGCAATGTGGAAACTGTTCCAGCCGTCTTTGTTCTTCAGGAGTGGATTGGCGCCGTGCTCCACGAGATCCCGGATCACCTCGAGGTTTCTCCTCGTGCAGGCCATCATCAGAGGAGTCCTAAGGCCGATGGGACAAGCTGTCAGGTGGAATAGCAGCTGAGACCCTGGAAGCCCGGGACTGGGGCTTCAGAAAAATGCACACGCATGGCGGAGACAGAAGACCTGGAGGACTCAGGGGGTCTGGGAAGCAAGCAAACAGCTTTGGCTGGCAACTTCCCTGCCTGCCGTGAGGAAGCTGGCAGAAATAACCAGGGAAAAACGACTGTGATATGGGTGCCCCTACAAGTGGGAAACAAAGGAGGTGAAAGTGCTTCTGAACTAGTTTTTAGTATAGCATTGAACTGGGACAGAACCCATCAAAGTTACAGTTTGTGCTGAATACCTGCAAAAGAGGCACTTTGCAAGATCATCCCATTCACTTCAATCTGTAACCCTTTATTAAACTGTGGTGAAACAACTTTAAAAAGAGCATTTGCTGGAGAAGGAAATGGCAGGATTCTTGCTTGGAGAATCCCACTGACAGAGGAGCCTGGGGGGCTAAAGTCAATGGTGTTGCAGAGTTGGACATGACTGAGAGATTAAGTATGCGCACACAAGCAGGGCCAAATAAATATTTTAAAAATAAATACATAAATAAAAGAAAAAAGGAGCACTTGACACAGCGCCTTGCTGAAAGGAGCCTACACTGGTAGAGCAGGTGGAACAGCGGTATATTACGGTAAGTTCCTGACTTGATGTGTGTCCACACTGGGGAGACTGAACTACATCACTGTCAACTCCTCTCCTCCCACCAAACTGATTCTGTACTTCTGCTTCTCACCTGCTCCTGTGTATGTGCGTGCTCAGTCAGTCATGTCCAACTCTTTGACACCCCATGGACTGTAGCTCACTGGGCTCCTCTGACCGTGGGATTCCCGGGGGCAAGAATACTGGAGTGGGTTGCCATGTCCTCCTCTGGGGGATCTTCCTGACCCAGGGATCAAACCTGTGTCTCTTGCATTGTCTGCATTGGCAGGGTATTCCCTGAGTGACCTGGGAACCCTCTCATGCCCATGACCCCTGGAAAGCAGGTAGACCCTGGTTACCTCCTATCCCCAGGGTCTGGCCCAGCCTGAGCTCAACACAACTAGATGGGTGTCAGCCAGGATTTGTCCTGAGACTGCCTTGGTATTACTTAATCATCAACAATTTTGTTTTCATTTTGTTATTTTGTATTGGGGCACAGCATATTAACAATGCTGTGATAGTTTTAGGTGAACGGTGAAGGGACTCAGCCATACATATACATGGACCCAATCTTCCCCAAACCTCCGCTCCTATCGAGGCTGCCACATAACATGGAGCAAAGTTCCCTGTGCTATACAGTATGTCCTTATTGGGACAGCTAGGGCATTTGAGATGGTCATGTACACACTGCTACATTTAAAATGTTTCAGTTTTTTATTTCTGGTAATGTAGTAATGAGAGTGAATGAAAAATCAAGAGGGAGAAACCTGGATGAATGAAGGCTGGAATCTTCAAGAAGGGGCTTCGCAGAGGGAATGACTCCAGGGAAGAAGGGACTTGAGAAGCCAGCAAGGTGAGAACAGTCAAAAATGTCCCTCTAACTGCACTTTCTAAGCCCACAATCAAGTGAAACTTGCCCTTGTGATGGTTGTTTGAGGAGGCTGTTTCTTTATCCACAGTTCAGTTCAGTTCAGTTCAGAAATCTCTAGTCTTTCCCATTCTATCATTTTCTTCTATTGCTTTGCACTGATCACTGAGGAAGGCTATCTTATCTCTTCTTGCTATTCTTTATGCACAGAATTGTTTTAAAAGAGGTAATATGCCTCCCCTATCTTTAGACCAACTTACTAGCAGCAGAAGAAAATGTCTTGTACTTGCTGCTGCTGCTGCTGTTAAGTCACAGCCAAAGCGCAAACCTCAAAACATAAGGATGCCTATTCCCCCATGCCAGTGGGCAAGATGCACTTTATAAAGCTATATGGCTGTCTGATGCAATTCTTTTTTATATAAGATCAGGGATTCCTTGTGGATTCATTCAGGAACTTCATTATGTTATGAACCTTCAGGTGTTCAAACCTCTAAGCGCATGGACAGACATAGTGAGGATGGAAAACCATGTGGCTCTTTTAACAGAATGCAATTACTTCATGTGATGTTTACAGGCGTGGTGTTGGAGAACTCTTGAGAGTCCCTTGGACTACAAGAAGATCAAACCAGTCAATCCTAAAGGAAATCAGTCCTGAATATTCATTGGAAGGACTGATGCTGAAGCTGAAACTCCAATACTTTGGCCACCTGATGTAAAGAACTGACTCACTGGAAAAGACCCTGATGCTGGGAAAGATTGAAGGTGGGAGGAGAAGGGGACGACAGAGGATGAGATGGTTGGATGGTATCACCGACTCAATGGATGTAGGTTTGAGCAAGCTCTGGGAGTTGGTGATGGACAGGGAAGCCTGGTGTGCGGCAGTCCATGGGGTCCCAAAGAGTTGGATATGACTGAGTGACTGAACTGAACTGACGGACTAGAGGTGAGCACTGTGCCTGTGAAGGTGGTCATGTAATAAGCCACACAGAGTACCCTACACACTTACCTGTGCTCACCTGTACAACTGTGAAATCTGAGTTAAGTGTCCTGATTGTAGCAATGTCAGTTTCTTCTTTTTATTACTGTACTCCCCCTTTAACTTTGGAGCAAGATGTTAACTTTGGGGCAAGACTGGGGGGAAGGTGCATGGAACTTCCCACTTGTCTTTGGAAATTTCTGAGAAGCGATAATTAGGAATTTCAAAACGGAAAGTTAAAAAGTGTCATGGGTGCAGTAACCATTTAGCTAGATGTTTCCAGAACATCCCATCTGGGGCCCACGCAACCGCAGTACCTACAGGCAAGTCGTAGTTCGAGTCTATTCTATCTGAACATGCTCCTTACTGCTCTCTGCTCTATCACGGGAGGCAGTCTGGAGCAGAAGGCTGCAACAGTTAACTTCACAAGGGCAGAAACGATGCTCTGCTCTGTAGGGGAAGGCTGACCGGCTACGGTGTGAAGGCCGACCAAGAGTAGGAATCTGCCATCAGCGGGGAGGGGAGGGGGTCTCTCTGCAAGGCCAACCACTTACCAGTCGGCCTTCTTCAGGCAGTCGACCGCGGCCCCCCGGCCCAGCAGGTACCGCACGCAGTCCCGGTGGCCCATGGAGGCAGCCTCGTGCAGAGGCCGCTTGTAGTCCCGGTTGGCGGCTTCGATGTCCAGGTCCCAGGCCTCGACCAGATAGGCCAAGACGTCCCGGCGGCCGTGGCGGGCGGCGCAGTGCAGGAGGGTGTCCCCGACCGGCCCCGCGCAGCCCGCGTGCCCCGCCGCCCGCAGCTCCCCGCGCAGGGCGCACAGTCGGCCGTCTTGCACCAGCCGGCACAGCCGCCGCGGGTCGGCGGCCGCGGCCATGGCCGCAGGCTCGGGCCAGCCAGGGACCACCCGGGACCCTCCTCCGGGCCCTCCCCGCCTCCGCCGGGGCCCGCCTTCGAGATCCTCCCCCGGGACCGTCCGGCCCCTGGGAACCCTCTTCCGGACGACCCCAGCCTCCCAGACCCTCAGGCCTCTGGCTGACTACGCGCCCCGCGAGCCGCCGTGGACGCCGCCGCCCGCACTGGTTTCACTTTGGGGCAAACCCGCTGGACCGCCGCTGAAGGCCTGGATCACACGCGCCTCTGGCTCGGCCCCCGCACACGGCCCCGCCCTCTGAATACAACCCCGCCCACAACCTCGACCCCCGCCCACCCGCGTCCGCCGCTGCCCTTCAGTGGGACCCAGAGCCTCGAGGAACTCTGGTAAAGTTTCTGCTCGCCTCTTCCGCGGTAGCGGAAGCTCGGACTGGACGTGGCCCGCTAGCGGGGTTGGAGTGGGGGGGGGAGAGTGAGGATGCGCATTCCGATTGGCTGTTTGAGTCGTCCGTCAGCGCGCCCCCTCCGTATGCGCGCAATGATTGGCCGGGGATGCGTTCCGTCAGTGTCGCCGGCGGGCTCTTCTCCCGGCGGCTGAAGCGGCGGCGGCAGAGCTGGTGAAGGCGGTCGGCGGACTACTCGGGGGGTAGCTCTTCTCGGGGACGCCTGTTGTGCCCACGGCTCGTGGAAGCGCGGCCCGAAGCGGAGGACGGTGTGCGGCGGCGCTGCGCGCAGCCTGGAGCTCCCGACCAGGAGGTGGAGGACATTGGTCGGGACACCGTTCCTAGCTCTCCCTGCGGGCTCCTTGGGGCCCTGCCCCTAGCCGCACCCGCAGCCCGCTCACATCTTTGCCTTTCCTGCGGGTGGAAGCCCTCTCCCGGAACCTGAGCGTGTGTGCCCCTCTGGAGGAGGGTCGTCAGTGATCCGCTGGTACGGAGCGCGCTGCTCGTTGTCTGAAAGTGAAAGTGAAGTCGCTCAGTCGTGTCCAAGTCTTTGCGACCCCATGGACTGTAGCCTGCACCAGGCTTCTCCATTCATGGGATTTTCCAGGCAAGAGTACTGGAGTGGTTTGCCATTTCCTTCTCCAAGTTCTCTGAAGTTCTCTCTAAAAGTGCCCGGCGCCGCCTCGCTTAAAGCGTGTTCCTGACGGTGACCTTTCCTCAGAAATTTTCCTCAGAAAATATTTCCTCAGAAATGTTCGTGTCCCGTTGTCCTGAACCAGATCCCAACTCCTGGAAGCACCTGAGACCTTTCTGTGCGCGTCTCAGCGTGTTGTTTATTCTTCCCGTCCATCCCTGTATTCTGTCCACGGCAAACGATCCCGGCTGTTTACCGTATGGTACCTTCCTTAGCTTGGTCTGATCTGCACCCCACGTCCAGCCAGCCCAAAGGGCCCCCTCATATCTCTGTGGACGTCTCACCTCTTCCAGGCTCCACTCCCCGAGTAACTCCTCTGCTCCATCCCACGGACTTCACCCTGTCTCTCTTCCTTGTGCCGCTATACGCGATTTATACCTCTGTGGGCTTCCCTCATAACTCAGTTGGTAAAGAATCTGTCTGCAATGCAGGAGACCCCGGCTTGATCTCTGGGTTGGGAAGATCCCCTGGAGAAGGGATAGGCTACCCACTCCAGTATTCTTGGGCTTCCCTTGTGGCTCAGCTGGTAAAGAATCGGCCTGCAATACGGGAGACCTGGGTTCGATCTCTGTGTTGGGAGATCCAACCTTTCCCTGGAGAAGGGAAAGGCTACCCACTCCAGTATTCTGGCCTGGAGAATTACACGGACTGTGTAGTCCATGGGGTCTCAAAGAGTCGGACACGACTGAACGACTTTCACTTTCAGGCCTGTTACTTCAGGTGTGGTCTTAGAGAGGCTTCCTCCTTAATTTGAGCTATTAGAGCATGGCTAGAGGGCTGATTGTCCTGTTTGTGCATTCTCCATTGGATCTCACGATATTTTGTTGTTAAATCGCTTCAGTCCTGTCCGACTCTTTGCGACCCTACAGACTATAGCTTGTCAGGCTCCTCTGTCCATGGAATTCTCCAGGCAAGAATACTGGAGTGAGTTACCATGCCCTCCACCAGGGTCTCTTCCCCACCCAGGGATCAAACCCGCATCTCTTCTGTCTCCTGCATTGGCAGGCAGACCACCTGGGAGGCCCAATATTATATATATATATATATATATATATATATATATATATTAATAGGTGATTACTGAATGAATGTTGTGTGTAGTCTCAGGAGTACCTTCTGAGGATGACACAGGGGGCAGCCCCGTGCTCTCAGAAAGGATTTCCCAGTACCATTAGCCCACAGCCTGTTTTTCCCTTAGTCGTTATACTTACCAGGTTCACGTCTCCAGGAAGCCTGAAGTTGTGAGAATCTTCTGCTTAACTTGTATGTCCCTTAGACCAGCCATTGGCAGTAATCCAGAGGTGGAGAATTTAACCCATTCTTCAAATGTATTGAAGTTTAAAACCTTAGAGATTGAGGGCAAGATGGGTATGTCAAGGCTCAGTACATTTCTCTTCCAAACCCAAAACATTTTGGAGGAAATTTCACATTATACTTGCTCCATTCTTTGCTTGGGGTTTTGTCTCCTACCTTCAGAGAAATATTGTTCTGTTTTTAGTTGTGAACTTTGTTTTGGGTTAGTAAATCTACTCACTTAATTGAGATCTCTGATGGGAATGGGAATGTGTGAGGGTTCCCTCCACTCTGCTTGAGAAGATTTTGGGAACACATCTCAGCTTATCTTTACCTCCTGAAATGTTAGAACAGTACTCTTTTTATCATCGCTAGCAATGACATGATGAAGTTACTTTCAGTGACCTTGTCACAGCTCTCATTTTATTTCTTGTGGTGTCTTTGTCTGGCTTCAGTATAAGGTTATGCTGGCCTCAGAATAAGTCTGGAAGTTTTCCCTCCTCCTCAGTTTTTTTTGAAGAGTTTAAGGGGGATTGATATTAGTTCTTTAAATGTTCAGTAGACTTTTTCAGTGAAGCAATCTGTTTCTGGACTGTTCCTTTTTGGGAGGCTTTTGATGACTGATTCAATCTCCTTATTCATTATTGGTCTGTTCAGATTTTCTGTATCTCCATGATTCAGTCTTGATAGATTGTGCATTCCTAAAGATTTATTCATTTCTTCTAGATTATCCATTTGATTGACCTGCAGTTGTTTGAAGTATTCTTACAACCCTTCTTATTTCTGTGACATCAGTTGTAATGTTTCCTTTTCATTTCTGATTTTATTCAGCTCTTCCCTTTTCCCACTATATATCTAAGAGCTGTCAATTTTGTTTTTAAAAAATAAAACTTTTAGTTTTATTAATTTTTTCCCCATATTTTTAAATTCTTTATTTCATTTATTTCTGCTCAGTAGTCTTTATTGTTTCCTCCCTCCTGCTAGCTTTGGGTTTAGTTTGTTCTTTTTCTCGTTCTTTTAGGTGTAAAGTTAGCTTGCTGATGTGTGGTCTTTCTTATTTTTTAAAAATAAGTTTATTTATTTATGATTTGGCTACACAGTGTCTTAGTTGCAGCACATGGGATCGAGTTCCCTGACCAGGGATGGAACGTTGGCCCCCTTCATTGGAAGCTTGGAGTCTTAGCCACTGGACCACCAGGGAAGTCCCTGTGATCTTTCTTATTTTTTAATATAAGTGCTTAGAGCTATTAACTTTTAGCATTGCTTGCATTTCATCCCATACATTTTGGTATCTGTGTTTTTATTTGTCTCAAGGTATTTTCTAATTTCTTTGTGATTTCCTTTTGACCCATTGGTTGCTTTAAAAATGGTTTTGTTTTTAATTTTCACATATTTGTGAGTTTTCCAGTTTTCTTTCCACTACTGATTTCTTGTTTCATTCTTAGTGATTGAAAAACATACTTTCTATAATTTCATTCTTTTAAAATGTGTTAAGACTTCTTTCGTGGCCTTGCATGTGATCTATCCTGGAGAATGTTCTGTGTGTACTTGCAGAGATTATATATTGTTGGGTGGAGTGTTCATTATATGTCTGTTAGGTCCAGTTGATCTAGTGTTGTTTGTTCTAGCCATTCTTGAAAGTGGAGTATTGAAGTCTCCTGTTATTATCCTGTTGTCTGTTTCTCTCTTCAGTTCTGTCAGTGTTTTCTTCCTAGATTTAGGAGCTCTTCTATTTGGTATGTGCATATTTATAATTGTTATATCTTCTTGGTGAATTGATCCTTTTTATCATTTTATAATCTTCTTTGTCTCTTGTAAAATTTTTGACTTAAAGTGTGTTTTGTTTAATGCTATTATAGCCACAGCTCTCATGTTGTTTAATCCTCTTTGAAACTCTGAGTCATTAGTGTCCCAACAGGAACTGGACACTGTTTCAGATAGGAAAATTGAAGCACTAGCTCTTCACAGATTCTATAATAAGTTGGTGTTGAAAGCAAAAATGAACCCCCACCCCTTTCCTAGTTTCCAACTAAAATTTGTGTAATGTTTCTGCCCTTTTCTCCACCTTTTGAGTTGTGGGCTCTAGTTGTTTTTTAAACAACTATCTGTATGTTTGTAGCCTGATTTGTGCTCTAATAGCCATTGCCTGCATGCTCTTTTGGATTTCTTAAACTATCTAGTTCATTCCTTAGAAAAAGTTGTATCGCCAATACCTGATGAATGAAGAGCAAACTATCAGCAGGGTGCATGGCATCCTGCTGAGCTATGGCATAGAGGAGGAGTCAGACCTGTACATCCTGAGTCTCATCTGGTAAGTCACCGTCTCCTGGGAGGAAGTTGGTTTCTGAAGTCCTTTCCGAGATGTCAGGATTTAATGGATCATCTTTCCCATGGACGCTGCTGTGAATGTCTTACAGCTACACAGACACCACGAAGTGCTCCCTAAGTGTGGACCCTGGACGGGTGTTGTGGAGTCTGATGGAGCACCTCCTTACCGAGGTAGAGGCCTACATGTGCCAACACCTCCCTGACCTCTATGCTGCCCCTGCCATATGTGAAGAGTCTGTGGGGAGGGCTGGGGAGGTGTCACCTTTTCTCTTTGGAAGAATGTGTCTTGGTGGTCAAGTTTGGCTAAAAGTTATTTTAGATTTATTTTCAAAATCTTCCTTCAGTCTCTTCTTTGAAGCCTTAATCTTTGTCATTGGTCCCTTAGAGAAATAAAAGGCCACAGATTCTTTAATTTGAAAGGAATTTTAAAAAGCATGTCACCCAATTTCCCCTTCTGTTGAGCAGTCCCAGCAGAGGATGGTCATCTAGCTTCTGAACACTGATCAGTAAGGATAGCTTTACAAGGCAGACCACTGTATTGGTAACAACTTGGGTTATTTGAAAGGACCAGATAAATGAAGGGCTTCATGCTGACACACAGTGAGTTAATGAGAAGCTGGAAATAGTCCTCTGTGTTCTGCCTCCATCTTGTAGAATCTATCATCAGGGGTTCTTAAATGTTGTCTTGGAAGCCAGGAGCAACCCCAGCCTCATTTCGGTAGTTTATCACCTGTTCTTTTCAATTTCTTGCGCTTTCCCTAATTGTCTTCTGTAATGATTACAGCAAGAAAACTACCATCCAGCTGACACATGAACAAACAGCTGATCCTAAGCCACGAAGTGGAGCCTCTCCAGGTGGTGAAAATAATGACATTTGCAGGTAAGGGGCTGCCATTCCTGGAAGACTTCTCGTCACTGTGTCCCCCTTCCTGCCACCTGCCGGAGTGTCTTTACCTTAATCTATTATTGAACTGTTGCAATTAAATCACCCAAAAAACAGTTGTTAAGGAATAATTGCTTTTTCTTACCACTCCAGGGAGCATCCGCCCTGGATGGACAGATGGCCCATCTGGTGGGGGTTGATCCAGCCTGTTACCTATCAACACGTCTGCTCAGACAGAGATGGCTGTGGGGTGGCTGGTCATGTGACTTTCCTGTTCAGACAGTGTCAGGAGCTCCTGGGTTTCTGTACAGTGAAGGCTAGAAGGGCCTCCCACTTTCTGGTCCGAACATGCATCCCCAAATACAATGTCTAGTGTTCTGCCAGGGTTAGCTAGTTGTGTTGCCTGGCTCCTAAAGTGCTTAGTCACTCTTTGAGCTTTGCTTATACAGCGTTTTCTTCTTGTGTGTTACAGGCACACGGCTGAGGAGCAGACTGAAGCCCAGGGAGGTCACGGGGCCCCTCGCTGGAGCTGCCAGGGCCTTGACACCAACCCGGGTGGCTCTGCCTCCACTCTGCTGTTCCCTTCACCACCTGGTGTTTAGTTCTCATTGGTACTAAGAGTGTGCTGCTGTTGGGTGCCTGGCTGGCGGCTAGATGAGCATGGGCAGATCCTGTTAGGGCACTGTGGGAATGCATCTTCCTGTTTAGAGGTGACCCCCTTCCTCTTGGCATCTCCAGGCACCGGGAAGACCTCCACCGTGGTCACATGTGCCGAGAAGTGGTCTCAGAGCAGATTTCCATATGTGACCTTCAATAAGATCATCACCAGGCAGCCAGAGCTCATCTTCCCAAGCCACATCATCTGCAAGACATTCCACTCTGTGGCCTGTGGTCACATCCACTCTGTGACCTGCAATCACATCGGGCTCAAGTGAGCTTCCTGGTGCTGCTGTCACCATCACGTCTGGTTACTGCTTTTCACAGGAGAGAACTTAGTGCCTAATATCCCTTCATAGGCAGGGAGTATAACAAAAGATTTAGTGATTTATACTTTTACCCCAGAGAGATACATTGTCACCCAGGGAGGCAGGCTTGTGTGTCTGGAGTTTAGGCATGGGTCAGATGACTTGTCTGCAGTCCTGGGCACCAATGGCTCAGTTGACCTGTTCAGATAAGACTCTCCTTGGAAGCAGGAGAGGAAAGGACAAGGCTAAGAGGCACTTGATCTAGGCTCCTGGGGCCTCTGAGCTGTGTTCCCTGGGATAGGAAGGCTTCAGGGACCTTTGAGGTCCCCCTGGGGCCTCCTGGAGTCCTGTCTACACTGTGGAAGAGCAGTGTCTGTTGTGAGCCACTTTGTCTCCTGGGTTATTAGATGTGAATTTTGGAAAGCCGAATGGAGCCCTTTCCAGTCCCACTTGGCCTGGAAGCACTCAGCCCTTTAAGCATTTTTCCTCACCTAGATGAGCCGCTGCCAGGGACCTGGTGGTGTCACAGAGAGATGGGGGCAGGTGGGGGATACAAGTCCCACATGACCAGGAAAGCCCACCCTGTGCCCTCAGGACATGCCTTCCAGATATCAGTTGAGAAAAAAGCTGAATCTCTTCAAGTTAACCCCCTTCATGGTCAACTGTCTCCTTGCTGAAGGGAAGGGCAGCTTCATTAGGGCCAAGCTCATGTGTAGCACTCTGGAGGTCTTCTTCACCTTGGCCGACGAGGAGCTGATGATCGACCATGTGCCTATCTGGTGCAAGAATAGCCAGGGGCAGCAAGTCATGGTGGAATAGAGCAAAAAGCTGGTGAGCGACTCAGTGCCCCTGGAGTCTGGGCCTGGGAGGATGAAGGCGCGACCTGGGGCCCAAGTCTAAATTTTTGATGTTAGGGGGAGCCTAGGTTTTAAGTGAGCTGGATGTGGGGCCAACTTAGGACGTCCATACAAAAACATACAGCCAGCAGCAGAGGGTCAGGGCTGGAGGGACTCGTTGGTCAGGGGCAGTGGGATGAGAGTGGGTGAGACGTGGCCGTGCAGGACGGAGCAGGGACAGAAGCCCTTACAGGTCAGGGCCTGATGGAGACGGGAAAGGAAACAGAGAGCAAAGCCCAGAAGCAGGTTGTTGGAGGTGACAGGAAACCAGCTTCCGGAAGGCAAGAGTGATCGATCATTGAACTGAAAGCATCAGGAACAGGAGGGCCAAAGGACATCACCTGAATTGGCAGTTAGGTCCCTGTGAACTAGAGCAGCAGCTGGAAGCTGGTGGCAGGGACCAGCAGTGCCAGTGAGCAGGGGACCAAGGGCAGGTCGGGATGAGAAAGGATGCTTGAGACCGAGGATGGTCAGAAGGGCTGCACTGCAGAAGAGCCAGGGAAGGACGAGGCTGGCTAGGAAGGGTGCTCAGTACAGCATCCAGGACGCAGTCAGCACTCAAGACCATGGGAGTCATCCTCCACTCACTGACCGTATCCAGATCACACGTACCAGGGCTGTTCCGGGCCCTGTAGATACAGTGAGTGAGCAAGAGACACAGAAACCCTGGCTGAGGAGCTTACCTTCTAGCTGAGGAGACAGAGGGTAGACAAAAGAAACAACTCAAGTTTTATGGTGCGTTCCTTAGTGGTCAGGGCTATGGAGAAAGCATAAACTAAGGGAAGAAGATATAACATTAAAGGAGGGAAAGGAATTTTAGATCATGTGGCCAGGGAAGGGCCCCATTCAGTGAAGACCCAAAGGAAGTGAGAAAAGTACCTACAATTAGGAAGTGAGGGAATGATGCCAACGATCACCACCCCTGTATTAGCATTCTCAGTGCATCACTATTGCAGGAACAGGTGTAATTGTATCATCGCCCTATCTTTGCCAGTGAATGGTACCATTACCACTGTCCTCTCTGGCTCCCCAGTGGTTTTGGCAGCACGTCTGATGGCCTGGGTCCAGCTACAGGAGCCTCTCCGATGGAGAGCCGCGTCCTGGGGAACCAAGTGCAACCCCACAGACGAGCGTCCCGGTGAGTGTGTACATCAGGGGCACAGCTCGGACGGGAAGGCCCCTGCGAGCAGTCACTGCAGAGGAGAAGCTGTGTCACGTGTGCACCGAGGGGTGACGGGCAGCACCCGGCGGGTCTTCCTGTCCCACCTGCAAGTAAGGGTCCTCCTCATAGGCCACCCTCAGACCAGAGTAAGTGACACAGAGACACCTCCGGGGCAACAGGAAAGGTGCAGCTCGAGGAGGTACAGGTGGAGAGTGTGTGACTCAGAGGTCACAGTCGTGTTCCTGTTGTTACTGTGTTAGTCGCTCAGTCGTGTCCAACTCTGTGTGACCCCATGGACTGTATCCCACCAGGCTCCTCTGTCCATGGATTTCCTAGGCAAGAATGCTGGAGTGGGTTGCCATTTCCTTCTCCGTGGGATCTTCCACACCCAGGGATCAAAGCCACGTCTCCTGCATTGGCAGGTAGATTCCTTACCACTGAGTGACGGGGGAAGCCCGTCATGTTTCTACCAGAGCATGTATCTGGTTGCTAGAGACAAAAATCAGCCAGTGCCATCTGGGAAGAACGAAGAACTGGGCATTCTTGCCACGTCTGTTAAGTTCCCACCAGATTTACTCTGAACGGGGGGACTGAGTTGCTTGTGATTGACACATACATTTTTCTTTAACAGATTGGCTGGGACTGATAATTATTCTTTGCATTAAAAAAAAGAAAAAGATTCCAAATGTTGGAGGCCTCCTCCTCTCTTCAATCTAAGTTGCTGCAGAATTTCTTAAAGTTACGATGTCACGTGTCTCATTTATTGGAGAGTCACAAATCACTTTCCGTGGGCAGGTGGGACGGGACACTCGACTTGTGGCTTCAAGAACAAACACCATCCTTCGAGCAAGGTTATTAAAAAGGTTTGAAAATATCTTCAATATATTTTTAGATGCATTTATTATCCAAAGTGAGCCAATACAGAACTTGGCACTTAAAAAATAATCTCACGATTAAAACATTATAGTCCAGTGTTTCAACATTAAACATTAAATGTTTAATTACTTTAGTGCACATTAAATGTTTAATTACTTTAGTGCACATTAAATGTTTTAATGTTTAACATTAAGAAGCAGAGCTTAGAATATAGAAGTGTTTCCATTAACTGCTTGTAAAGAAAGAAAGTGAAAGTGAAGTCGCTTAGTTGTGTCAGACACTTTGGGACCCCCATGGACTGTATGTAGCCCACCAGGCTCCTTCATCCATGGGATTCTCCAGGCAAGAGTACTGGAATGGGTTACCATTTCCTTCTCCAGAGGATATTCCCGACCCAGGGATTGAACCCAGGTATCCCACATTGTGGGCAGATGCTTTACCGTCTGAGCCACCAGGGAAGTCATGTCTATGTAAATATCCCAGCATTTCCTTCCTGGCTTTGAAACCAAAAGTTCAACTACTGTTGGCCAATGAAAAGCCTGTGAAAGAAGAAAGTAAACAGGCCAGTCATGTTTTGTGGCTCAAGGCAAAGGAAGTTGCTATATTCTAAATGTTATTACCAAGGCCTTGCCACAGGCGATTTATTACAAAACATCTCACACACATATAACAGTCTGCACATTGGATTTTCTTATTTAAAACAACTATTTAATTTTTGGCTGTACCTTGAGGCATGTGGGGAACTTAGTTCCCCGACCAGGGATTGAACCTTGGCCCCTGCAGTGGAAACGCAGTCTTAACTTCTGAACCACCAGGGAAGTCCCTACCCTGTATTTTCATGCTTCTCTAAGGATTTCAGATGCCGACTTCATCCCCATCATCGACTCCAGACTCCACTCGAAGGTAGAAGAAGTGAATCAGAGACCCTGAAAAGAGTCCAGCTGTGCAATGGGCTGTCATCAAGCCAGGAAGCCAGCCGCCTCATCCCGGGGGGGCAGTCCTCCACCCAAGGGGGTGTGCAGAAAACACCGGCTCCTGGCCTATTTCACTGCACCTGCTGGCGACTGAAGCAGCAGCACACGTGTTCCCGTGGATTCACTATCTATCTCTGGAAACGCCCTCAGCCATCGCGCTGTGGTCGAAGCACTGAAGGACGTCGGGGCTCCGTGTGAGATGCTGAGCCAGGGCGCCCGAGATGTCCGGAGAGTCTTGGAGCCCGGAGCTCAGGAGGAACTGGACACAGGCTGCGTGCTGCCCCGAGCAGGCCAGGTGCAGGGCTGGGTGGGGACAGAGGACCCAGCTCAGGGCATCACCCACAGCAGTAGAGACAGGGGCCGGGTGCCCCTGATAGAAACTCTGGTTCCTTCAGCTGCACAGATTTCATAGTCTTGTATTCATTCCTATGAGTCTGTCTATTCTAGATCTGAACATTTTTCCTTTTAACCTGATTTGGTCAAAAATGGTTTTAAAAGTAATATAATCAATTGGGGAGGATTTGAGACTTGTCTAAAACACAGAAGTCAGTAAATGAGAAACGGGAGACTTTAAATGATACAGAAGACATTTTCAAAATTTTATGAATTCTCTGTGTAAGGAGAAAATATTACGATGAGTCAGAAAGATGTAACGAAAGAAGAACTGCTGACACAGCTTCCATTTTGGTTGGAAACTGACACTGAGGGTTTCCAGTATGCTTCCTGGGAGCCAGAAGATCCTGGGTGTCACTCCCTTGCCATCAGGGGAAAGTTTGTGTCCCTGAACTCAGTCGCTTCCTTCTGCAGCCCTGGAGTGAGGGACTGGTTGCCTGTGAGTGCTAAAGACATTTTGCTAACTGCTTTCTGTACCTTACATTGCTCTATCCTTATAGTAACCCTGTGAAAAACTGAAACTTGTCTGTTTTACACATGGAAACACTGATGCTTAAGGAGGTAAAGTGGGCCTACAACAGGGAAGGTGGCAGATTTGAGATCTGAACCCACCATCTGAATCACCATGCTTCCTCTTTATCCCCTGGGCTAAAACTTGTAGGAATAACTGAAGGGACTGAACCAAACCGTTTCTCTATCTTGTGCTTTTCGAGGAGCAATCTGGCCACGTCCATGTGGCCACACTGAACAGTGTCCATGAAGGGCGTGAAGCCATACCTGTCTCTGCAGTCCGGTTCATAGTGGCACCTGGAGCCCAGACCCAAAGCAACAGCTGAGAACAGTCACCGCTTCAAACCTGACAGCGCTGACTCTGGGTGTCCCAGGACTGTAATCTAAAGAACACCAGTATCTACATCTTTTCTTTGCCCTATTGTTGTTCCTTCTCTCAGTCGTGTCCGACTCTTTGTGACCCCATGGACTGCATCATGCCAGGTCTCTGTCCCTCACCATCTCCCAGAGTTTGCCCAAGTTCATGGCCATTCAGTCGGTGATGCTGTCCAACCATCTCATCCTCTGCTGCCCTCTTTTCCTTTTACCTTCAATCTTTCCCAGAGTCAGGGTCTTTTCCAAGGAGTTGACTGTTCTCATCAGGTGGTCAAAGTATTAGAGCTTTGTCATAAACCTTTTCAATTTAAGACTCCAGGCCTGAGACTGACTTCTTTATCTTTGTGTTGGGGGTGGGGGTGGGGGGTAATAGTACCTGCCTCTGAGGGGTTGTGATGGTTCATAATTCCTTCAGCAAGTATTTATGAAGTGCCTATTCAGCACTGTTCTAGACACTGAAGATAAAGCAGCAGAGTCCTTGCTGTCAGAGCCTAAGATCTAGTGTGGGTAACAGTAAATACAGATATACTGATGACAAGTATATTTGTGAAAAGTGCTAAGAAGAGTGTAAGTCAGTAAAGGTGAAAAGTGAAAGTGAGAGGGCCTGAAGGTTTCAAGTTTGCGTTCAGAGAAGGTACAGACCTTAAGTAAATGGGAGTTCGCCATGTGGATTTGACAATGCATGTACATGTCACCCATATCCTGGGGGGCCCCTGTAGCAGCATGGAGGCAGTGATGCTGGAGCTGGGTGAGTGGGTGGCTGAGGCCAAGTCAGGTAGGGCTCTTGACCCATTTCGTGCTTTTCAGTTTTATTTTCATTAAGGTAGGGAGCCATTGAAGTATTTTGAGCACGTAACTGACAGAACTGAATCTAGAGTTTTTAAAAAAAAGCTTTGTGGCCACTGAATTAAGTAGACAAAAGTGAAGCAAGAGACCATTTAGGCTATTAAAATAATCCACCCCACTCCAAAAGTAGGGAATTTCCTAGCGGTTCAGTGGTTAAGACTCCATGCTTCCACTGCAGGGGACATAGGTTTGATCCCTGGTCAGAGAACTAGGATCCTGCATGCCATGTAGCCCAGCAAAAAATGAAAAAATAAATAATCCAAGTGAGGTATGATGGCAATTTGGCCCATGGTGGAGGTAGTGAGAAATGGTCTACCCTGGACAGATTGTGAAAGGAGAGCTGACCAGGCTTGGTGATAGACCTCCTATGTCATAAGCAGGGAGGAATCAAGTAGGATCCCAAGGTTTTGGCCTGAGAAACTACAAGCATGGACTTAGCATCCTGGAGGTGGGAAAGGTTATGGATGGAGTTGGGGTGGGAGAAGAGCTGAGAGCTCAACTTTGGACATAATTTTAAGTGCCTATAGGACATCAGAGTGGACGAGTGAGACAAGGAGCATGGGGTTCAAGGAAGAGGTGTGGACTAGAAATACTAGTGTAGGTGTCACTATTGTGGGGTGACACTGGATAAGATCAGAGCCTGGAAAAGATTACATGGGGTGTGAACCAAGAGTTGAGGATTGGATGGGCTAGGCCTGATACCATCAAGAAAGACTCAGTAACCCTTACTCTATTTTTCTAGTCCTCCCTTCCTAGCTTTTTTGTCTGTCTATTGATTGAAAAGAATTTAGTGAGTGATGGAGTAAAAATTGTTTCCAACTTTAGTTTCTGGACTCCCAATCTATCAGTATATGCTTCTACATTATTTTAAAGAATTCACCAAAAGTATGTTTGGACAAATATGAATGCTGGTTGTGACATTTTAGTAATATAGTCAGTGAAATTCATTTGCAGTTTCTTTTTTTTTTTTATTTATTTTTATTAGTTGGAGGCTAATTACTTTACATCATTGCAGTGGTTTTTGTCATACATTGAAATGAATTAGCCATGGATTTACATGTATTCCCCATCCCGGTCCCCCCTCCCACCTCCCCCTCCATCCGATCCCTCTGGGTCTTCCCAGTGCACCAGGCCCGAGCACTTGTCTCATGCACCCAACCTGGGCTGGTGATCTGTTTCACCCTAGATAATATACGTGTTTCGATGCTGTTCTCTTGAAACATCCCACCCTCGCCTTCTCCCAGAGTCCACAAGTCTGTTCTATACATCGGAGTCTCTTTTTCTGT